CATTTGTTCAACAAAATTTTTTGGCTGGAGAGAGAGAAAGAGAGAGAGAGAAAGAGCTAGTTGTACTCTAAAGCAGTGTTTCTTGAGTATGACTAAAGTGAAATTTGAGGTTTGTGATATAACTATCGGCACTATTTAGATTTGCCTGTTTTTTCTACAATGTTTCATCCACTTTGATATCTTGTTTTACACTATCAATCATAGTGATGGGCCTCTTCTATTCTCACTATTCTAATACAGTTTATTTATCCTAGAAAAAAGTTTTTTCGTCGTCTAAGTGATTTATGACAACTATTAGTTTGCTTTGACACTATTCTACTAACATCTTTTGCTTTTTCGCCCACTTTTTTATCTTCTTGGTTGCTTTGTTGAGATACGCCTGTGCTATGTCAGCTTGTTTATATAATAACCTAGAAAGCTTAAGTGCCATGGGGCTCCTCTCTGTACAGCTCGTGACAAGCGTGTGCGGCATGAATGGTTGATTGTTAGGAAATTATTGAATAATGTAGCAAGATACAAGCAGAATTTCTTTATAAGTTCCTTTAATTCCCAAGATCAAGGGAATTATTATATGTGTTTTACATGTTAATAATAATTAACTCCATACAAGCATTAATAAATCTCACCATTGTTTAGAGGCTCCTTCAAATTCTTTAATTCTTTTGCAAACCAATTCAAGGAGAGAATTGCACTTGAGGTATCGACACGAAGGAAATCTGAGACACTAAGAAACCGTTCAACTGCTAGATTGAACAAGGGGAATTTCGGCTATGATGAATGCATGAGACAACTAAGGTTTTCCTTATTTTGTTTTATACAAAATTTTTACACATATGAAATTGTGTAAACCCTAAAATTATAAGTTTGCTTTTATATGCACACTTAAACCTATTCCAATGCATACTTAAACCCTATTCTACATTGGAATAGGTTTATCCATATTCCTAAGTAGAAATGTTAATTGGTATTTTAATTATATGTGTCTATATATATATATATTTCATGACAAATTGAACACAAGCAACAACCCCAACCTTATATTCACTTAATTGCACAACAAAATTACCAAGATACTCTTTCGCTTAAAAAGGTGAAAATGTCCCTTAAACCTTAATCACCTTCTTGATGCATATCAATGCTTTGGAGATTAACCCTTCTTATGTGTGTGACCCGTAGGCTCCCTGTCATGTTGGTAGTGAATAGTATTTTGATTGATCACCAATCAATCGTCTCATTACATATCCACCAAGATTGACCTCTAGCAAGGCGTAATTGTCACCCAATGTGTAGAGATTAAGCGAACAACTATTACCTATCAACAGTATGGTTACTGTGCAATCTAATTCTTTCATCATATGTTATTTCATCAAGGTTGAAGCATAAAAATAGTGTCAACTTCAAATATTTCCTTGATATGTTGGTATTTGGTTATTGTGCTAATGACCAAACAAAATCAAATTGAGACCAACTCAATTCCACTATGGCCATAGATTCATGATCATTGCCATCTAATCGAACTACGCATTAAGATAACTTCTCATATATCTAAGAGTGATGAATCTTTTGTCGATCCACCATAACCTCAATGTACTTCTCCATGCAGCCAATCACTACAATTCTAATAGCCCTCAAAAGTATTACGTTGGGCTAGTGTCAAACTACATTAATTGGTATACAAGGCACTTCGGTGACCTTAAGTCTAAAGATCACATCCACTACCATCCATTAGAGGATTTATTCCATAGACACTAAGGTTACCATTTATATGTAATTCTTTGGTGGGTTAGTCTCGTTAACTTGCTTACAATAAGCACTTATGTGTTGAACCAGGTTGTCACCAAACAACATTAACAAGTGAGATCTGTCATTGCCTTTTGATAGGGTCGTTCAACACGATGGTAACCTTACTGTATTGTCTATGTCCTTGGTTAGATAATACTGAGGTTACATATATTTATAGAATGACCACCAAATGTGTTCATAGGGATCTCATTATCAAGATTTAAAACAATTGATTCCCTCGTTATGGTTCAACCATCTTTAGGACATATATCACAACATATGGTAAATACAAACTACACGATATAGTAAAATGCCTTTATTGATAAATAAACATGATACATTAGAGTTAATTTACAATAAATGGGTTGGCTCTAGAGCACATACTCTAACATTGATGATCCATCACCATTTCGAAAGGGCTTTTGATAGTAGCCTCGCTTCGTTGTAAGTTGTAGGAGAATTGGGCTACATCGAGCAACGTTGCCTAATCATGCTGGTTGGCCCTTATAAAATCCTTAAATACATCTCCAATAAAGCATTCACCCTTTTGATTTTTTCATCGGTTTGAAGGTGAAAGCTTGTAGGAAATTGTAGCGTTGACTCATGAGCTTGAACAACTTGGTCCAAAATCTTTCTATGAATTAGGTGTCTCGATCGCTAATGATAGATTTTGGAAGATCCCAATCTTTCACCATATGCTTGAAAAATAGCTTAGCGGTGTCTTCCTATACATAACTCATTTCTTTCAAATTCTCAATTGTTATCAATTTTTGATATCATATTCCCAAAATTAAGAAAAAATTATTAAGGATTATTTTGAGGACTTTTGGCATCATAGGGTTTGAGGGCCAACATATCTTGAAGGGCGGCGTCATTGGCACCTGAAAGAGTCTATTCTATTTGAGCTAAAATTGATGAATACATAAACAAAAACATGATAAATATGAATAAGGATGGATATGACATCTTACTTGACAAAGTTAGAGTAGAAAAATTACCTTTCGAAGCCAAACAACACTTGAAGCCTTCAGTGGAAGTGAGAGATCTCCAAAAAGAAGAAGAATCCTCCAAGTAAAAGTCCACCACCAAGAGAGAAAGAGATGGCCGATTTTTAATAAAGGGTGAGATATTTTTCAAAATAAAAAATTATGTTAAAAGTGGAGATAATGATGTATTTATATGCTTGGGCCATTTGAAACTTATTTTAAATTAAAAGTTAACCCATGGTTTAAACCAATGTGTAACTAAGACACACATAATTATCCCATTATATATATAACCCAAATTGAATCCAATTCAATAATTATATAAATATATCAACCCATTATTGAATCTAATCCAATAAATATATATTAGCCTATTATTAATTATTGAATCTAATTCTATAATGACCAAAATACCATATTACCCTTGGTAAGTGCTACTTCCCGTGGGTAATCATTTCTCATCAACACATAAATTCAAATGCACACGTTTACATCCAAGCATCATTAACCTTTAACGTTATGGATTACCATCTCTCCTCATACTTGGTTTTTATGGTGTGGCTACTTAGGTTTACTATGACATAGCGGTGGGCCTAATATCGTATTCCGATATGTTCCGTCATAACTCTTTATGATCGAAACTCCCACTAATTATGATATGCATCTAACAATGCAACATATAGGGGTGGGATAATTTGGTTAATTGAACCGGATTAGGAAAACCAAAAATCAAACCGGTTATTCGGTTTAGACAAAATACAAACCAAAATCGGACCGGTTTTCTGTTATAAACAGGTTGTAAACCGAACCGAATATTCTGTTCGATTAACCGGTTAACTGGTTTTCAAAAATCAGAGACTGCTGGCAGCGTGGCCCTGCATAGTCACAACCTTCTTTAATTTTATGAATTCACAAAGATAGAGAGACGCGCAGAGAAAAGGGTCCCATACTGACTCAGCTTGATGGAACAGATTGAGTGGATACCGTCTTTTTGAGAAAGATTTGGAAGCTATCCTCCAGCCATCAATTCTTTTTTGTGAATGTTAAAGAAGATGATAACTGGCTAGCTGAAAGATCCCACAAGACATAAATACTGTAAAAAAGGCTCCAATTTCTTCTTGTTCATGTCTTCGATCAAAGGGAAAGAAACCTTTGTGGAAAATAAATGTGCTATTGCTATGTTAGCCCCAAGATGAAGAAAATCAAAGCAAATAATAACAAAAGATAATAGTAGTACAGAGTGCTAAGTTCTTTACAGTAACTAATCACTAATTGATGTATATTCCTCGGGATCTAAAGCTCTAATAATAAGCAAATGAGAATATCTCTTTTCCAAGGTTTAAGGCCAATTTCTTTTACAAGAACAAAGTATATGAATGGAATGGTCCCTTCCTCTCTTCTCTTATAAAATGAAAATAAATTTAAAAAAAATCAAAGACTGCTGGCGGTGTGGCCCTGCTCAGTTGGTTTCAAACTGGTTTTCAAATTAACTCGCAAACATCAAACAAGGAAAACCTGTTAACTCGCTGCTGGGTGTTGGCAAAGTGCGACGATCGAAGACTGTTGGTGGCGTGACCCTACTCAGTTGGTGTGGAGTGTGGAGTGTGAAGATTGGAGCTTTGCTCACGATGTGGACAGTAGAGTGACTGGAGAGTGGATTCTACTCATGGTGTGGATAGTGGAGTGACTGGAGAGTGGAGTCTGCTGGGTGCTGGCGAACGTGTGAAGAAATGAAAAATGAAGATGGAGTGGACAGTGGACACTGGTGACTAGGGGTGTAAACGAGCCGAGTATCACCCTAAACGAGCTTGGCTCGGTTAAACATTAGACGAGTTCAAGTCGAGTCAAGAGTCGGCCGCATCAGGAAAATTCAGCTCGTGACTCAACTCGTTTATAAACGAGCTAGCTCGTGACTCAACTCGTTTATAAACGAGCTAGCTCGTGACTCGGCTCGTTTAACACGAGCTCGAATTGGCTCGATTATGACTCGATTACGGCTCGTTTGGCCTTTTTTTAATATAACCTGTCATCTTGTTTTACACAAATCAGATCCAATTTTTAATAAATTTGTATCTAAATCAACAAAAATCACATCCAAATCAACATAAACAATGTATTACACAACAAATTATATAATCCAAGACAAAAAAAAAAAAAAAAAAAAAAAAAAAAAAAAAAAACCACAAATGTCTATCAAAATACATCAAAATTATCATCAAAACAGCATAGAACTCAAACTTTCGGAAGTTGAATCTCCACTGGTTCCTTCTGTATCTGAAATTTAAAACAAAAAAAAAGTTAATATCAATGTTCAAATGAAATAAGAGTAATTGTAGAATAAAATAATAAATATATTATTAAAAATGTACCGTGATTCCTTTTTTCACTTCATTTAAAATGCGACACCAATCAGCTCCACATAACAACATTTCCACTATTTTGGGAGACAACGAAGATCGATATGTGTCAATAACTCTACTACCGGCGCTGAAAGTAGCCTCTGAAGCCACTGTAGTGATAGGAATAGCTAGTATATCACGAGCCATCCTATACAAGATAGGGTACTTCAAAGGATTCGCCTTCCACCAATCCAAAGCATCAAAATTTTCCGAATCACCATGACACTTATAACATGCCTCGCTTAGGTAAATATCCAACTGAGATTTATTTGGCTCAATAGTTTCAACCTCATCCAGAAAATCATCAAATTCCCAATCATCAGCTCCTCCCATAGACCCCTCGGGAATTACTTCAAGTCCAACCCTTTCAATTGTACCTTTGCGGACTGCACTAGATGACTGACAATCATTAGCATATTCCCCATATACCTCATACAAAGTATCCCGAACAGTTGTAGCATTTGCCCGTGCCTCAACGTCAGAATACATCTTAGGGAAAGAAAACTCAATCACCCTAATTTTGTACCTAGGGTCCAATATAGCTGCAACAACCATCAAGAAATTACATTGCCCCCAGTACTTATCACATCTTTCATTTTTCTCACCATCTGTCTAATAAATTCATCTTCACTTTCACTTTTTTTATCCAACAAAATTTTGATCCTACATACTTGCCTTAGAAATACGTTTGATGTTGGATAATTACTCCCTGAGATGATATTGGTCATTGTACTAAAAACCCTTAGAATCTCACATACTTTCTCTACTTTCACCCAATCTTCTTTATCTGGACAATGTTTGTAACCCTCATCCCTTTCTTTGTATCTTGGAAACACTTCTTTAAACTTAATTGCAATTTCCAACATGTCATAAGTTGAATTCCACCTTGTTTTACAATCAAGGATAAGTTTTCGACACGACAAACGCAATTGTTGCACAATCTTTGCAAAAACCTTCAGCCTACCCTCTGAACCATTAATGTATACCACACTCTTATGGATCTTGTCGATGATTCTCCTAATTTGTGGAAGACCATCTTGCACCATCAAGTTTAAGATGTGTGCACAACATCTGACATGAGACATTTTACCCCCACAACTCAACTGCCTTGTTATTGTAAAATTTTGCTTCAACACCCTAATTGCCACATCATTACTACTAGCATTGTCCACTGATATCGTTTGGACTTTGTCTTCAATCTCCCATTCTGCCAAACATTTGTAAATTGCATCAGCAATCTGCATACCACTTTTTGGAGTAGGTAAACGAACAAAGTTAAGAACCCATTTGTTCAACTTCCAATTATTATATATCCAATGCCCTGTCAAAACCATATACTCCAACTTTTGGTTGTCAGAATTCCACAAATCTATGGTCAAACTAATCCTCCTTACACCTTTTAGCAATGTCTTCAACTTCTATTTCTCCATTTCATACACCTTCGCACAATCATTTTTACATGTATTGCGTGAAACCCTTGACCATCCTGGAATCCCATATTTCAACATATTGTTCAAACCCTCCTCTTCCACAATGATAAATGGGTGCTTATGCATAAGCACCCATTGTGCAATCAATTCCCTCATCATCGTCATGTCGAACTTACCGGTAAGAGTAGGAAGGACAGATGTTCCCCCACTAGAATCAGCAGGGGGAAAATTAATATGTTGTTGTCTACGTGAAGCGGCTCGTTTCACACACGTTTGTAAATGTCTTCCAAAATGTGTAGTGCTTCCAGATGCATGAATTTGAAGCTTGTATTTACAATGGATACACTCTGCTTTCTTCTCACGTTAGGAAGGACCATTTCTTTTTATTCAGCCCATACTGTAGATGTCTTGGTTCTCTTTCTCCTTTGAAAGAGATTAACATTTGCATCCTCATTCGACGAGCAAGTAACATTTGGTTGCGTATTCATTGTTTCATCCAATGTCGGGTGGCTGCTAGATGCCATACCTGTAAAAAACAAATAAAACTTGTAAATGGTCCTGCCTAACACAATTTATTAACCACAAAAACAAGCAGGGGTGACTGAATAAAAAGCATTAGCACAAGCAACTAAATGGCAGCAAAAACAGGGGCAACAACAAATAAGAAAAAATCAACAGCAAAAACAGGGGCAACAACAAATCAGCCTAGCCAACACAAACAGCAAAAGTAGGGGCAGCAAAAAACCCAACCAACACAAACAGGGGCAGCAAAAATCAGCCCAGCCAACACAAATAGGGGCAACAAAAAACCCAGCCAACACAAACAGGGGTAGCTAATCGTAGACACAGCAGGAGTGCAGGATGATAAATGCACAAGGCTCATACAAAAAACCATAAATTTCCAAAAAGAATCAACTCAAATGCATTATTGAACCACAAAAATGGTGTTACATTCAACAAGAAACAACGAAACATATGTCATATAATATTTATTCAGAAAACATAAATGTGCACATTTATAATTCACAGTGGATGAACTTGTTATCTATTGCGGTCTCTCAGCCATTAGCATGCTTTAATTTAGTTAATTAATAATCCAACCAATATGTCTCACATGCTATGATTAAATTAAAAGTAGCTTTAAAGAGATTTTGCTACAACTTTGTTGCTGTAGGAAAGAGAAGAAATAATTTCTTACTAGAGAAAATTTTAAGAGTAATTATTTCTCACAGAAAGATGGCTGCCTAAATCTCTTCCAATCTAATTTTCACTTATTTGCAGGAAGGTAAGAGTCAACCTCGAAAATAAACATGAGACTAAAAGAAATGTTTCTCTATGTGCTTAACCCACATGTCAAGAATCTCCTCTAGTTTTACTCGCACAAATGTGAAATGCGTGAACTCTTACAAGTGTGTGTCATTAACAAGGTAAAAAGCACAACATGCTGGAAAACAAAGGCAGACCATAATTTACTGAAGAAGCCACTGTATGTGCAAAAACAAGCAACAAAGTTGTACTGCTATTGAAGAGGTTCTCTACTGAATCTTCCTGCACCTAGATGCTGGAACTACAACATGCAAACCACTATTGAAAAGGAAACTATTTGGTACTAAAAAGCAGGCAAGGGTAAAGCATTGAGATAAAAAAAAACAAACATGTAAAAGCAGGCAGAAAGAGTTGAAGGGGTCTCCAAATGATGAAAAGGGAAAGCCAAAGGCAACAGCTGAACAAGATCTACAGCTGTAACCATCATTCATTATTCAGCTGCGGATCACACCAAAAACAATTTTACAGTCGTTGTCCATTCCTTAAACCAAATCAAAACAATTTTCTAAACGTCTCTGCACTAACCCAACTACAAATAACCAAACAGAACTACAATAATCCAAAAAAGAAACCCAACTACAAATGAAGGAACGAACCTGTTGTCGTAAAGATACACAACTCCTCACAAATTCTTCGCAAAAATCAATGTCGTCGGCGATGAACAAGGCAACAAGAAGTGGTGGTTATCGGTGATTTGGTAGTTCTCGTGTTTGTGGGTGGCTTGGTGTGATAATCAGGAAATTATGTTTTGGGTTTCTTGTTTTAGGGTTCTTGATTTGGTGAGGATGAATTTACACGATTTGATTTTGGGTTAATTGGGGTTATTTGGTTAAGGGTTTATTTGTGATTTTTTAAACCTTTTAATCTTTTACATGTCAAATTACAAAAAAAAACCAAAAACTTGTATTTATGCGCAGAAAAATCCTAAACGAGCCACTATTGGCTCGCGAGTCGAATCGGCCGAGTTGGGGTAGACTCGAAATCGGCTTGGTAACTTACTCGAGTCAAATTCGAGCCGACTCGGCTCGATTATAATCGAGCAGAGTCGAGTATTTAACGAGTCGAGCCGAGCAGGCTCGCGACTGGCTCGGCTCGACTGACAGCCCGATTGGTGACTGGACAGTAGAGTGTGCACTGTGCACTGTGGAAGTGTGGAGATCAGAGCTTGGAGGCGGAGAAGAGAAATAGAGAAGTAGAGATGTGAGGTGAAAAAAATTTTGTTTTTATACTTAGGGTAAAACCGGTTTGGAAAATATTCCAAACCGGTTTTTCGGTTTTTAAAATTTTGCAAACCGAACCGGTTTGCAAAAAAACCTAATTTTTGGTTCGGTTTCTGGATTATTTATCCCAACCCTAGCAACATAATCCCTAAGCCATAATGAAGTTACACTCCAATGAACCTATTTCGTGATCGTACATACCGTGTAGTAAAATCTCTCTGTCTTCTAATCTCAATTAAGAATGGTTCATGGTATGTTAAAACCCTTAACTTAATCTTTAATCGAATCGTCAATCAATACAATGGAATGTGTCATCATGAAACTACTTTTGATATGACATCTTTATATACTCTGGCTAGAGATTTACTTTTTTCAATGTTTATTGATATTCGACTAGGAACTCGAGATCAAACTATTTCGAGTCAACGAATCTCGTCTTGACCATCGCTTGTCTTCACACATGAATAACATATGACCAAATCGGCTTTTTGCATAAATCCGCTTTTTGCATAAGACATGACTAATCTCGTGCTTATACATCATATGTCAAATCTAACTATGATATCTTAGGTATAAGGATCAGTGGTACACTAGTACGATCATACGATGTATCATTGATCATATTCTAAATGTCCATATGATTCATTGTAATCGGTTGTATTCGATAAACAATTCACTAATTATTTATCCATGCTAATGTCCTAGCAACATAACTCTTATAATCACCCACACTAATACCATCACATGATATTCAGTGGAGACATTCAACATACCTACTATATACTGTTATTGCCCTACGTAAGGAATGTTTTGATGATTTAATGTTCTGAAGATCTATATCATCTGGACATTTCACATGTATATAACACACACACACACACACACACACGCACACACACACATATATATATATATCCTAGAACCGACAACACAATTGGTTCTTAGTGCATACATTAACAACACCAACAAAAGCTTCAATGAGGATCGAGCTTGCCAAATGTCATTGGCCACAACCAAGTTAGCGACAACAATGTTCTTATTATCCGTTTAGAAAAGCTTCTACTTTAGCCAACAAATACAAATTATCTAGTACTTCTATGGCTCTTTCTTTTAACTTTTTGATTTGGTGTGTCTAACAACACATGAGTTTGTTTTTGAGCGAGATTAAAAACCATTTTAGAAGGGATTTTTGACTCTTAATGAAGGATTGCATGCTCACATCCAAGTTTTTTCGAGCCTCTAAAATAGCTACAACATTATGTTCTAGGTTATAAGCGTTATCAAAGTTCTAGCAGATGACTTGGAATAATTTAAAAACATTAGTATGGGAAGGAAAAACTACCATATTATGCTTTGTGGAGAATAAGAAAAAATCTGGTGTTGTTTATTGAAGATATAAAAGGTGGCCTTAATTTATATAGATAGAATTGCAAATATCTTTTTGCGTAAGGACCTGAGCATACTTGATGAAGAAGATATAAGCGTGCTCAATTAGACTTCCTTTTCCTCTTTTTAAGCAGCAAAAGTTTGTTCATGCCTTTAGAGAGCAATCATCCAGCGAAAAGTAGTATGATGAATAATATGACAGTAAGTCTCGTCGTAGTCGATATCCGAAAACTTCAATAAAACCACAAGCAACGAGACGATCTTTAAATCAATCAAATGAGCTGTCTTCATGTTGCTTTATCCGATAAACCTATTTAGACCTAACATTTACGTTAAAAGAACAAGGCACCAAATACCAGGTGTGGTTGGAATGAAGAGCTTGAAGCTCCTCGATCATAAAAATTATCCAATGAAGGTCCTTAAGAACATAGAGTTCGAAGCTCGACATAAATTTTAGTTTGAGGAAGTTGACACTCATAATCATGTAGAAAATTGGGAGGATATCCATTTCGCCAAGGGCAAGACGAGACAACAAAATCATTTGTGGTTTGGTCTTGTATAGAAATAGTAGCACCATCGATGTTGTTAGCGGCTACTGATGTATCATTTGAGACACAATGACAGTGGACGAGGCACTGTGAGTAACAATTGGGATCTTGTCATTTTGGGAAGTAGCAACTGCACCATTTGAGGGTATAACACCAGCATTGTTATCGTCTAGAGTGTCGGTGTCAACATGAGACTTGTGAGTGACATCAGTATCTGCATTAAAATAGAAGCTAGTTTTTAAAACAAGTTGTTGCAGTCTTTTTGAGGCAGTTATATTATTTGGAATTCCAACCCACTTACCAAGCGATGAGAATTCTGCAAGCTTTGGAGAGGAAGAAATCAACTTTGGTTGGGTTGACTTGAAAGGAAATTTTCCTTTATCAAAGATGATGTGCATTGAAACATATACATGTTTAACTCTTCTGGATTAGACTATAACTAATAAAAACACATGGGTAAGTTTTATTAACAAACTTGTTGCCCCCTTGATGTCATAAGGAAGGAAAACACAAGATCCTAACACTCGCAAGTCGCTATAATCTGGTTCCTTTTAATACAACTTTGAAAATGGAGTTTTGTAGGATAAGACTCAGGAGGGCATCTTGTTGATTAAATAAGTAGCAACAAGAAAAGATCCAGTTTGCAAAGATAGTGACAAATTTACATAAAATAACATGNTTTTTT